ATCCAGCAGTGATTCCAGCCACCCAGGAGGATGGTAGACAAAACAATATCACCTACCTTCAGAAAAATGAGATACGAGCCACTGCTCGGTCTGTTTCTTGCTTTGGGATGAGAGCAGTGATCTGAGTTATGAGCTGCATGTGTGGATGCCTGGCGGAGGCTCCACGCCCTGCTGAAGGCTGCAAGCAGGCCTCATGCTAGTGCTACTTATTGTGCTAGTGCTACTTCTTGTGAGGCTTGGGATGGCTCTCTCACAAGAGGTAGTGCTAGCGCGAGAGGTAGTACTAGTGCAAGAGTACCCACCATCTTAAGCAGGGCCAGCTAGCCACCTTCAGTGGAGTCTCTGATTCACCCCAGGCTCAGTGCAGGGCCTGCTCGCAGCCTTCAGGGAAGAGCCACTCAAGCCCGGCCTTGAGTGGGAGGAAGGGAAATTAAGTAATTTTACAGTAATTAGTTCTGAGGCTGAGCTCTTAAAGGGAGAAATTGTGTTGGTTTTGGAGTCGGGGGGTGGGGTGGCCTGGAACGGATTAATTGAATTTCAATTCATTTTAATGGAGAAATTTGCTTTGACATGCAAGCAAATTGAGTTATGAGCTTGGTCACAGCGCAAATTTAAACTTGTATGTCAAGGTATCACTGTAGTTTGAAAAGGGTTTCATCTTCACTCCTTTGTTTCAGGGAAGTGAATTTCTTAATAGATGGAACACAAGCTCCTTGAGAACCTGGACAATTTGTATGAATAAATAAAATACTTGCAGTTAATAGGTAGAGAAAGCTGCTTCCATGTAGTTTGGGGTCCCTTTCTGTTGCAATGCGCGGTCGGAAAAGATGGTGATTGTGGCTGTTCTAGCAAGTTTAGGAGTACACGGGAGCAAATCGGGATAGTATGGCTAACCCTTTATCTACTCATTACCAAAAGCAGCAAAACAACAACAACCCTGTGAATTGCGCCCAATCCTCGCCTACTGCTGGCCTAGTGCTGGGATTTGAGTTTGTTGCTCTGATTCAATGATCCAGAAATCAATTGAGTCTACAAATCTTTTTGGTGCACTGTTTTCTGGAAATTTGTTTCTTGATATTATGAGGGCTGAGGAAGTGAGAATTAATTTTGATTTAAATGTGACTTTGCATCTAAAAGAAATGTTATACTAAAAGCATTAACTATATGAAATATTTCATATGCTTCTTTTCTTTATTTCTCTCCATGTTGGAGATGATAATGAGTAAACAAAGCTATATCTCGATGTTGTTCTCTTCTTTCTTGTACCATAGAAGACCATTTTAAAAAGCAGTTCTTCTTTGTAACATCAATAATCCACTATTGACCCCTCTATTTTACTTGTGCTGTGTTATGATTTCTTGTGCAAAATTTCAGTTATGGGTGGACCTATGGTTTGGATGGGAGATCCAGCCTCTTTCAATAGACTCAGTTGTTACAATGGTATAACACTATGGTGTGGCATGATTAAATTATTTCTTATCCCTTTCTTCATTTAAAAAGCCTTCCAAAAGTTGATATGATAATATTATCTGACATTTGTAAATTCCATAATTTTAAAAAGGGATGCCAGTGTTTCTGAATTTATTTGCATGTTGGTCATTTGTTCAAATTTTATGCATATAAAATAGTATGCTGATTTTTTTTCTACACAGTCTAATGAAAGATTGTAGCAAAAATGGAAATTTGAACACATTTTTAATTATTTTGATTGTTTTGAATAAGTTGACCAGCTTTGAATTTTGAATTTTTCATTCTCATGATTATTCATTTATTTTCCCCCATTCAAGCACCATATTAAAAAAATACAGATTAAAACTATGCAAATATATTATAACATATAATGGTTAAAAGACAATTAAACAATTTGTTATGTTCAAATCATTACAATTTATATATATATATTTAAACCATATACAAAGTACAAAACAGGACAGCACATTATTGAATGTCCATCCCAGTCAGTTTCTAAAATCCTGATGGTATTATAAGGTTGTTTTGACATGCTGACAGAAGAAGCAAAAAGAGGGAACCCTTGTTAGGGGTTCAAATCAGCTTCAAATTCCCTGTTGTATAGCGGAATGGCCTCTTCAGTCCTGTTAGGAAGCCAAATACCTTTTTGCAGTAAAGTGGTCTCCTCAGGAACAAAAACAACATGCAGACACAAAGCTATTCATTCCAACTGGAAGTCTTTTCTTTCTTAAGTTGCAGCAATAGTATAACTACTAAGACAGTATGTACAAACTCTCTCCTGTCTTCATACACCAACCCTCATCAAATCCACACAGGATTACTACAAACTGTTATGCAACCGTTTCAGACCTCAGCTGAAGCTAAGCCCCCGGTGGCGCAGTGGGTGGCTCTGTGCCGGCAGCACTGAAGACCGACAGGTCACAGGTTCAAATCCGGGGTGAGGTGGATGAGATCCCTCTATCAGCTTCAGCTCCTCATACGGGGACATGAGAGAAGCCTCCCACAAAGATGATAAAAACATCAAAATCATCTGGGCGTCCCCTGGGCAATGTCCTTGCAGACGTTGCAGACGTTCTCTCAAACCAGAAGCGACTTGCAGTTTCTTTAGTGTAGAGGCCCCACATCTCCCTCAAAGCCCGGGCTTTTCCTACATGCCCTCGTGGGATTGTGGGTGGACCTATGGTTTGGATTACATTGAACCAGTGGTTAATCCTGAGGCATTGATTCTATTAGCACTTAGTAGAGTAATTTACACATTCTGACAATTCTCCTAGTCTTTCCAGGGCCAGGGAGAAGCTACTGAGAAGGCTCTATTTCTTACTCCTACAAAGAAAAAGTGATAAAAGACCTTCTAGTAGAATCACAGGCCCACAGAAACCATGGAAACCACAAGGACCATATGGTCCAACTACCAGGCATGCAGGAATCCAAATAGTCCCGACAGATGACCATTCAATCTCTTTTAAAAAACTTCCAAAGAAGGAGACTCCACTTCACAGTGTATTGTGTGGCTGAACAACTCTTACAACCAGGAAGTTCTTCCTAATGTTTTGGTGGAATCTCTTTCTAACAAAATGAAGTTCAACAGTGACAAATGCAAGATACTCCACTTAGGCAGAAAAAATGAAATGCAAAGATACAGAATGGGGGACGCCTGGCTTGAGAGCAGTAGGGTCTTGGAGTCCTCATAGACAACAAGTTAAACATGAGCCAACAATATGATGTGACGGCAAAAAAGCCAATGGGATATTGGCCTGCATCAATAGGAGCATAGTGTCTAGATCTAGGGAAGTAATGCTACCCCTCTATTCTGCCTTGGTTAGACCACATCTGGAATATTGTGTCCAATTCTGGGCACCACAATTGAAGACAGATATTGACAAGCTGGAGTGTGTCCAGAGAAGGGCAACTAAAATGATCAAGGGTCTGGAAAACAAGCCCTGCGAGGAGCGGCTTAAAGAGCTGATTATGTTTAGCCTGAAGAAGAGAAGGCTGAGAGGAGACATGATAGCCATGTATAAATACGTGAGAGGAAATCACAGGGAAGAGGGAGCGAGCTTGTTTTCTGCTGCTCTGAAGACTAGGACGCGGAACAATGGCTTCAAACTACAAGAAAGGGGATTCCATCTGAACATTAGGAAGAATTTCCTGACCGTGAGATCCGTTCAGCAGTGGAACTTTCTGCCCCAGAGTGTGTTGGGGGGTCCTTCCTTGGAAGCTTTTAAACAGAGGCTGGATGGCCATCTGTCAGGGGTGATTTGAATGCAGTATTCCTGCTTCTTGGCAGGGGGTTGGACTGGATGGCCCATGAGGTCTCTTCCAACTCTATGATTCTATGATCTTAGAGCAGTGGTGTCAAACTTGTGACCCCTCTAGGTGTTTTGGACTTTAGCTCCTCGAATTCCTGACCATTGGGCAAGCTGGCTAGGGCTTCTGGGAGTTGAATGGGCTACATCCGGAGGGCCACAAGTTTGGCACCTTTGTCTTAATTAAACACTTAGAAAGATCCAGACCTAATGTAAGGTCTGGATCTTTCCAGGTGTGAGCCCTGTGGGGATTGACTCCCGGGACTGCTTCCATGATCCTGGGGGTCAATCCCCACAGTGATCTCAGTTCTTTGGGCTCCTGGAGCCCAAAGAAGAGATATGGAACCCCCATTCTCCCCTCCCAGTCCTCCATTTACCCTCCAAACTTACCTGAGGAACCTGACTGCATACTCAGCCCCCTCCGTCAAAAGCTCCTAGCACATCAACATGACACATGGGGATGTTGGTGAGGGGGAATATGGAATTCCCTCTCCCATCCTCCCAGTGTGCTGGGAACATAAGATGGAGGGGCTTGAGCATGCCAGACCCTTCAGGTAAGTTTGGGAGGTAAATGGGGTATTACCTCCTGATTCAATCCCATGAGGGCATGTAGGAAAAGCCCGGGCTTTGAGGGAGATGTGGGGCCTCTACACTAAAATATCTCAGTTCCTCCCAGGATTGAGTCATGTCTGGAAGGGCCCTTACAGCTCTGTAAGTTTCGGAAAAGGAAATGCAGTCCCTCAAATAACCTGAATCAAACTCTTTACTTTTTATTTATTTTGAGCCAGTTATGCTAATAAATTCAGTATGACAGAGATCTGTAATTCGGGACTATAATATACTGTAATATATTTAACTGGTGTGGTTAGAATGTATGTACCTGTCCAAAATTTAGGGTCAAAGCTCATTCATTTAGCAGCGTCTTGATTGTAGAATTTTTTTCAGAAGACAGGTTAGATTGGCTCTACCCCTCCCTAAATTGCACACAAACTGTGCAAATTGTATTGTTGATCCTGCCATTTGCTTAAAATGTTGGGCTTTTTTAAAAAAAGGTTGTTTTTATTTTGTCATGGTTTTATTTTATTTGTTTATTTGTGGTGAACAGTACAGTCACACATGGATTTTAAATAAAGTCAGAACCAGGTAATCTAGCTTCAACCAGCTCCAATTCTGCGTTTGTTGATGATTCTGTTGGCAGGTGGTTTTTATTTTTTTCTTCTCCAGGTAGTCCACTGTGCTCTTGCTGTGTTCCCGACCACATGAGTCTCTCCTTCCTTCCTACATATGGCTGTCAGAGTAATCGTACAGCAAGTGTGGCTGCCCTGCGCATGAAAGCCCGAGAGCACTCTGAAGCTGTACTGCAATCAGCTAACCTTCTAGCCTCCATTAGCCCCAGCCATACCTCAGTGGGGAAACTTAACACAGAGAATGACTTGGACAACAAACTTCCGCTGACTATTGAACAGAATGACAGCGAGAAAAATGTTTGAAACCAACCTTCCACATCATAATGAACCCAACATCCTAAGAAGCCAAATCTTCAATCATCTGGATTATTTTACTGCTGGGACAAAACTTGGTAGTGTTTTTGTTTTTTGTTTTTTGCTATCGTGGCTAGCTACCAGCACTAGCTTGCTTTTGCCACCTATTTTGTTGACTTTCCCCCACCTCTTTATTAATTTATTCAACTGAATCGCCTTGCATCACCTGGTCTAAAGTGGAATGGGATTCAGAGATTCCGCTAAAAACAGGTTATAAATCAAGGACATTTACTTGTTCATGTAGCACATCTTGTGCCATTGGGAGAAAGGTATGTGTATGTGTCAGTCAGCCAACCAGTTAGTTAATTGAGAAGTCCTTCTGTATCACCTAATTTCCCATTTCATTAAAGAAAAAAAGTATAATAGAAGAAGACCTGTTGTAATTTTAGTGACTGGAAAGTCAAGTGTCAAGTTTTTGAAGAGAAATGCGGATGAATGGAACTCAGTCTTTCCAAGCCTGAAGAAAACTAGTGCAGAAGATGACCTGTTGTCTTAGTTGCTTACTATAAAGACTCCACATTCAAGGCACTCTATACCATGATCCATAATGCACAGAAAATGTATAGTCACACATTTTGTAGAGAGCTTTTCTCTTACGGGACTGGTGTGTTTGATTTTTTATAGTTTATGCAGGTCTGAGAAAGAGGCAAACAAACCGTGTAGTAATTTCATAGAAACATCACTTCATCTACAGTCACCTCCCTAAATAATTTTTGAGTATGGAATTTTGGAGGACACACATCTTGAGTGTGCAGATAATCACAGACAGTCCTTTTAGTTGAGATTTTGGGAAACAGAAATGCTTGGGAGGATATATAAAGGCATGGTAGCTAAGATTCTAGGAAATACATACTTTCTGACCAGAGATAGGAATCAAGTGCCCTTTAGACCTTCAGCATTTCTTACCAAATGCCCTTCAGCATTTCTTACCATTATCTGTCACTGCTGAGAGTTTCAATCAAATAACATATTGCTTTCAACCCAAAAGGTCTTTGCCTGTCGACAAAAGGAGAGCAGGGAGGAGGGCATATTAGTCTCCCATAGAAGGGAATTCCAGCAGGTGGGAGGCTCTCTCCCATGTCCTCACCAAGCTGACTTGTGATGGTGGTGGAACCAAAAGAAAGCTTTCCACTGTAGACCTTAAAATATTGGCAGGTCATATAGGGAGATACAGTCTTTCTGATAGTCTCAACTTAAGGCATACAACAATCTGATGTTCATCAGCTCAGAAGTAAGTTTTGTTGACTTTAATGGATTCACTCCCAGGTACAACTTAAAAGAGTTAGTTGAAGGTTAATAGGATCCATGAAGGGTGTCTGTTCCAAAGAGGACTACTTTTCCCTCTTACGTATAAATCCATTAACTAGACCCAGACAAAGTAGAGTCATCCAATGGTGTTTGCTAAATGGCCGTCAAGTTTATATTCATTGTTACCTGCTTTCAAGTGGCTTCTGATTTATGACAACCCATAAGGAAACCTATCTAAGAGTTTTCTTGTCAAGATTTGTTCAGAAAGGGTTTGGTTTTGCCTTCCTTTGATGCTGAGAAAGGCAAAGGCAAACCTAATCTATATAAATCTAATTTGTTCTAGTTTGGAATGGTAGATAGATTTAACTTTGTCCAACTTGACATACTGAGAACCAGTTTGTATCTTAACCTCTCCCTCCTCTCTCAAAGCTGACCTTTACAATTATGTTAACATATGAGGGTATGTCTCCATTTATTTTAGTGCTGAGTGGACCCCAAACAAGAAGCATGCACAGTCAAGAAAGCAGAACAGAGAAATATCAAGCAAAACCAGCAATTTGCAACCAAAGCTTAGATTTACAATGGAAATAAATTAGGACTTGTGGTAGTATTCTTAAATTCTGCTGTGCAATAGACCCAAAACTTTGAATTAACTCCTGATGCCACTCTTTTGATGGCGTGCCTCATCTCCTACCAATGATTTTTGGAATAACTACATTTATTTACAAAGCTTTGATAGCTCTATAGTCTGTCTTTCTAATATGAATATTTCTAGTGCCCTTCAAATAAGACAGCTTACAATATGAGAAATCAAAGGTACATTTAAAAGTACTATCATGTATCACTAATATGCAATACCTATTGAGTTCAATGAGACTTACTCTAAGGGTGCACATTTATAAGAATGTAAACATACAAACAGGCCTGGAGAGACCCAGAGTTGCTGCCCTTGAAATCTCTGCATTCAGGTTACAGAAGGAAAGTGCACAATTGATTCTCCAAAAAGCAGAGCTTCACAGGTTGCACAACATCTAGATTTCAGTTGGTAGCCACCACCCCCCATCCCACCCTCTTAAACTATGCGAGCTCAGATGGACAAACAACATGCATAAAGCATTTTTCTGGGTGAGAGTTGGGAAGAACAGGCTAATGCTGAGGTCTATTTTTTAGACATTCCACAGTATTGGATCAGTACTATCTTATTACACACTAAAAGTAATGCAAATAAAACATATAAGAAATTGTTCAGTCGTGGCCAATACCAATATCTATCATTGTTTTGATATATTTGCATTCTGAAATCTGAAGTAGGCAACTGTTTTATAAAATCACAGCATCTCTGTGGAGTTGGAACCCCACAAGGATTTTTTGACTCTAAATTCCGTTTTCCTTGAGCTCTTTAGCATTTATTAGATGAGCAACAAGGATGACTCTTCTTGCCAATAAAGCCATGCAAACATCATGGGAAAGAAGAAGTATTCCATCTTTCATGTTTATCCCAGTTCTCATTTGGCATTTGTATTTTTTTAAAAAAAAAATCTGCTATTAAAATGGTTTACCACATATCAGTAATCTCATTTTCATGTCAACATAGTATTCCAGGTGAATTTGCCCTTTCATTCTAATGTTTTGATTAAACCCATTTTTCCTTCAGAAAGGTACATAAATAAGTGAACTGTTGAGCAAATTAAGAATACTTAACAGCATTGTCTCTGAAAAGTAGTTACGATTATTAAATTTTCTGTCCTTGAGGATTTTCAGGAAATTACTTTTGATCGTCAATAACACAATTAAGTAAACTATACATACATTAGCATGAATAATTGATACGAAATTATGTATTACCATGAAGCACTGATTTAATAATTCATTGTGCAACACTCTAGTGACTGTGCAAAACTGGAGACCATCACAAAGCCTGCCTGATGCAGGTGCAAAAGCTGTCTGGACATTTTTCTGTATAGTAACAAGAAAGACCTGCTGCATGATCTGTAACATTAAACTGTTGGTTTAATAAAAGAAAATACTTATAGGAAAAGAGATCCCAGGGAAAATCTCCATTATTCATATTTTTTAAAAATTGCTCTGTACATATTGGTAGATTGTTGATGTATAACAAAAATGTCATTCTCCGTGTGTGTATGTGTACACACACATACATATACATATATACATACAGGGGGAGAGAGAGAGGCTGGATATACACCGACATGTAATGCAATTCTAGCAAAAATCTACAAATTTCAGGATAATTCTAAAGATTTACAGGCTCAACAATCTGAAAATGTATGTATGTTAATGCACATAGTAATGAAACTCATGACCCAGATTTGTTTTGCATTTACTCTTTTGTTTTCTCTGAGTGAAAATATTTGGCGAAGACCAGATAAATATCAGTGACAAAATCAGTGATTCATTTTTTTCAGCCCAGTTACTATCTGTCGTAATTGATGAATCATTGATCTCTTCTTATTTTTTTTATTTCACCATTTTATTTAGCTGCTGTTGCTGCACCTCTCCACCAGAAAGTCAATTACTAGGAAAAATAAGATCAAAGATGGACAGAGAGAAATTAACCTAGCTGCTCTGTCCTTGTGCATTGAACTATAATCATTCCAAATTTTCTGGCCAGAGGAACTTCAGATTTCTCTGATAAGCCAATACCTAGGCTCTAAAGCCAAATAACTTTGAATAAAATATTTGTTGTGATGCTCAACAAAATAACAATTCTGTAATTCCTTGGGCATCACGTGAGTCTTTAACCTCAGAAATTCACAGATTTATGAGAGTTGGATATTTTGGGAGGGAAATAAAATGTAAACAAAACCACACATACCAGTACACTTTGAGTCTCCTTCAGAAGGGATAATGTGTGATATAAATAAATGATGATGAGATGATGGTAATCATCATTGCAAAGTTGGATATATACAGTTAAGATATGCAGAGACTCATATACTAAAATGTATACATTCAGAAAACGAGAAAAACCTTTCCAACTTTCATCTAGGGAAAGTTCACAATTTGAAACAAACTGCGTTCTTGGGGGACAAAATTTGGCAAAATACAAAGAGCTAAAAGTCTTTGTAAAAAGAGTGCTGCCAGTAAAGTATGTGGGATAAAAAACAGCATCCAGGCAACACAGCTGGTCCTATCTGAACACTTTCAGGTATGAGTTGAAATTGATAGTTTTTCATAAAACCTTTTCAATTCAAGATTTATGATATGCCCATGTCTTCAGTGTGCTGATTATCAATATGATAAAAAAAAAGGTAATATAGCCAGTGACGATTTGGTTGGACTGGGCATGCCAGTGATCTGTCATTAATTTTGGTAATCTTCCTGAACAAATGCAAATCTATCGAAAATCTCCTACTAAAATTCTCTCCCTTTCCCCCATATAAGATGGAACAGTCCACAAGTTTGTAATGCCCTTAAAGAATATGTAGAACTACTAGATACCATGACTGTCCTGGTAACAGTCCATATACATCCTAGGATGTATAAAAAAATTCCAGGGTTGCACTTGAGAGATTAAAAGAAAGTCGGAAGAGTCGTGGTCAGACTGCAGACGAGAAATTCACAATGTAAATATTTGTTTTTATTCAAAAAGGGGAGGGTGCGTCAGGAGGTGAAGCCAAAAATTATTGATAGCAAAAATAAAAAAATAAAAAAAAATCTGGAGGGTTTTCCAAATTATATAATGAAATAGTTGTATCCAGGGTCTGCCCAGATTTGATGGATCCCTGCTAAATGCGATTGAGAAGAAGACTTTTTAACACCACTTCAGTCTACATTCTTCCTTGTGATCAGAAGCCCAATAGAGCATTACATTTCTTAGATGGCTTGGCACCACCCATAACTGCCAAATTTAGATTTGGTAAAATAAAAAGAATCATTTAAGGTCTTCTCTTTAAAAATGGCATCCAAACCTTCTCTCTAGATTTTCCTTCTATCTCACCCAATCCATAGTCCTTGTAACCAATCATGTTCATTCTCTGCCTTGTCTGTTTCTGAAAGTGCTGCTAACGCTGTGTTGTATATCAGTGAGCAAAGGAGTGGTTTTAAAAGGGAAGGTTTTGAGATAATCACAGAAATTTCTGGCAAATTCCCCATTCTTGGACTTGAGAATCACTTTTCAAAATCTGCAAACTTAATAGAGGTTAGTCTATCTCTCATGCCCATAGCATACCAATGTCTGGAAAAGTGATTTAATGTCAGCTGCTGATAGCTGACACCAATAGTTGACACTAAATCAAGACAAGGGGCCTAGCTTAGATGTTTCACCTGTACATGCAGTTATTTTCAGTATTAATTATCTTAATTACATTTTTAAAGGAAAGCAAGAAAGTAATGCATAAAATACTGTAAACTACAATGGGATTTTTGGGATAAAAACCAATACAGAAATATCCTCATTTTTTAAAAGGGCATATTTTATTTGTTCTGTTAGTATTGATGACAACATTTATCCCTGAGATACACATCCTATTGTATTAACTCACTAGCAATATGTCAATTTTAACTTACAAATGGGATTATTGTATCTAAACCACGTTGCGCATCTAACCCACAACAATATGTTTTGTTGCTTTCACATTTGTCAGGATGCATCTCTGATGTTGACCTAATTAGTAAGATCACTCTTGCCATAGTACTGGTCTTCTCTCATTTCTGTCAACACTTGTATCTCCTCAAAGAACGCGGTAGAACATCTTATAGAAAGGGCAGATGATTAAGCTTCTTCTGGTTTCACATTGTGAAGTGCTCCAAGTATATATCCTTTGTCTTATTTCTTTAAATCATTCTATGGCAGAACTGTTGTAACTGTTGGATTTCATAATCTGGGAAACGTATTCCAAACATCTATATTATGATTATTCTGCCATTTGCTTTTCAGGTTCATGACCTTTCTTGCAGTTGCACTTGCTACATATTGCTAACAAAAGCCCATGTTTCCTCTTGCCTCCATGAAATTCTCTGCTGTCAGTATGACCAGTACTTGGGGCATCAATCATTGCTATACAAATTGCTGCCTGTGTGAAGTTTATGTTAATGACAGTACCAGACAAAGAAGGAAGAAACTTATTATGAATTATGCTTGATAAATATGACTTGCAAGCAAGTGGAATAGAGGAATGGAGGGGAATACCTTATTTCAGAGAAATAGACCAAACAAGAGGAGGGGTGGGGGAGAGTCAAGGATG